CTCGACGTGCAGAGCATTCTCTTCGAAATGTGGACGATTGACCCCGATTCTTAATTATTTTTTCTCTCTTCCCCCAATGATCCATGATCCACTCTTTCCATTTTTCTTCTTCTTTTTCTCCTTTTTCTTTTTTTCTTCTTGTCATTTCTCTCGTCATTCGACTTATTCACTTTTCTTTTCGTTATTTCATTTTAACGAAATCATTGCCCTCGATTTCTTTTTTTCCTTCGTTTTTTCTTTTCCTTCTTCGTGATCGTACTTGGCACACAGCCGAATTACACGATTCTCAAACAAAAGCAGAATCAAATGAAAATCTACTGCGGATTGTTTGTACGTATACTGTACAATTGAACGATGAAAGAATTCTTGCGACTAGATATTACAAAATTTATCCATTACGATTCCAATGGATACGATTCCATTCGAGGTTACAATAATATTCGATTATTCCTAATATAATTGAACATGCGTTGCCATTTGGTCGGAACTACATTTCATTATTTTAAAATTATTAAAATCCAAGAAAAATCATAAAATTCAAAAAGAACGTAAGAATGTAAATGATGAAAATTCAAAAGAAAGTAAGCGAATTCAAAAGAACTAGCGGAATAATATTTTATTACATTATATAAACATAGTTTCTTCTAATAGATATAATCTTTCAAAAATTGTGTAAAGATTAATTTATAATTAACAACATATTTGTAGTTCGGACGGAAATGGGAAACCTCGCAATATTTATAATTATGGGATCGTTAGCGCAAATCGAACGAATTAGATAGCCTTTCGGACCTCATAGCCTATTCTATACCTATAAATTTTGTACCTCTTCGTACACAATAAAACTTAACAAAATTAATCCTTCGTATACACGTACACATTATGCATACACCACGTGTATATATACATCTATATATATTATAATTACATTGTGAGAAAATTTTACACTCTATATTATTATACATTTTTTGTCATAAATTGTCGACTATTATGAATCCATACTTATGAACTTATTCAGGTTTTTTCTATCGCCAACTTACTATGGGACTAATATCGCTGAACTTTCATTAAACCCCATAAATATATTTGTAAATTATCCATGGTGGATGATATGTATCTCTGCATCGTTTTGTACAAAGTGATTAACGAGAATGATTGCGATTAATTATTAATTATTCATTGCACATTGATAAATTTGAATATTTTTTTAATATAGCGATGTCTTCATCAATGAAATAATTTATATAAGTTATATATATATATATATATATATATATATATATATATGTATGTTGTATATTAGAATTGAACATCTTTTTTTAACAATCTGCGACTTGTATATTTAATATTTTTTCATTTTTTTAAATTTTCCAGAAAAAGAATTAATCATCGATATTTATTGATCCGATCGACGAATCAATCAACTGCAAAAAGAAGAATCTTCGATTACAATCCAATAATTAAATCATAACGATGTATCTTTTCTTACATAAGTCATAGATTGTTGTTAATAAAAAATAAAAAAGAAAAAATTTCTTTATTGTTATTCATGATGCGTAATATCAAAATCAATTTGATTAATCGAATCATCGTCGTATTCCACTTTGTACTCACGAAACCGTACGTAGTACGTATGTATAATCTGTATACATGTAAGTCAAATTATCATTCAAAACACTGTTGTATATCAGCACAAAATTAATCTTTTATTCTTAATACCAACGTGGCGTACACGCGCGCGCGCACACGCGTAAGTGAAATATACTTCACTATATGTTTGTCTACGACCGTGTACGCATGTATGAATATATATTTATTAAGTTTTACTGTTAATATATATATATATATATATATATATATATATATATATATATGTATGTATGTATATTAGAATTGAACATCTTTTTTTAACAATCTGCGACTTGTATATTTAATATTTTTTCATTTTTTTAAATTTTCCAGAAAAAGAATTAATCATCGATATTTATTGATCCGATCGACGAATCAATCAACTGCAAAAAGAAGAATCTTCGATTACAATCCAATAATTAAATCATAACGATGTATCTTTTCTTACATAAGTCATAGATTGTTGTTAATAAAAAATAAAAAAGAAAAAATTTCTTTATTGTTATTCATGATGCGTAATATCAAAATCAATTTGATTAATCGAATCATCGTCGTATTCCACTTTGTACTCACGAAACCGTACGTAGTACGTATGTATAATCTGTATACATGTAAGTCAAATTATCATTCAAAACACTGTTGTATATCAGCACAAAATTAATCTTTTATTCTTAATACCAACGTGGCGTACACGCGCGCGCGCACACGCGTAAGTGAAATATACTTCACTATATGTTTGTCTACGACCGTGTACGCATGTATGAATATATATTTATTAAGTTTTACTGTTAAACTGGAATAAATTAAAAAAAACAAATAGCGCAGAACGATGAGACAGGGAAAGAAAAATATTGAAGGCGTTCAATAGCTTGCTTCTCGTTTATCAGAATTTAGTTTTGTCAGGGACTAGTTATAGACGAAATTAGCAGAAACAGAAAATGGGGAAAAAAGAAAAGAAATAGAATGCGCGAAAGAGAATGAGAGAATAAGAGAAGGAGAGAAAGAGATACGTGAGACTGAGGAGAGAATGAGAGAGTGAAAATAATAAAAAAAAAAAAGAAAAAAGAAAATAAGAGAAACGCACAGAACGCGAGAAAAAATAGCGCGAAAGATAGGTAAGAACGATGTTGAAAAGTCAGAGACAAAAGGAAAAAAGAATGATGATGACAATAATAATGCCAATGCGATTCGTACCACAAATGATGCACAATAAAAGCAATGCACCGATACGCGTATAAAATACCTTTATTTTACATTTTAATTATTCATATATATATATACATATAATTCATTTATTATACAAATTATAAATTTATTTATTATAAACGTACATTTATTATAAATTTAATTATTTGTTATAAATTTAATAACAATTTGTATGTTATAAATAGATTGTAATATTTCCATTATTTATCATAAATATATGTAAAATATTTTCTTTTAAAACATTGTATATTTGTAAAAATATTTTTTTATTTTCGTTGAACGAACATAATATTTTATTGAAATATATAATAAAACGTTTTTTTCTTAAACATTTTTCTTTTGTATGATTAATCATACATAAAATTGTATATACAATTTTCATTAATTACAAATTCAATATATTAATTCATTATCAGAATTCATGGAAAATTACAACGCTTTATAATTTATAAAAGCGATCGAGATTGTGGGACGAATCGTAACGCGTAGTCGTTGCATGAGTGTATGATTCATAGAAAAATACTATAAAGTTTAAATTGTTTTATATTTTTGTTACGCCTCTCTGTGATATAATAAGGGCACATTCACCTCACCCTATATATGCATTAATCTTTGTATCTATTGATTAAGATGAAACTTTTTGAAGAACAATCCTTGTCAAGCTCTTCCTAATTACATTTTGGATTATGCTCGTGCGTACCATCATTAGATTGAAAGAAAATCAGAAATCATGGAAGATACAATTTTTAAACGATTAAAAGTATTCAAACAAGTTACTTAAATTATTCTACTTAAATAAACTTAAGGGATTTGTTAAAATGTTTATGTACATATATATTTCAATATAGACTGAATCATTTAAATAACTTCGAAAAATTTTAATGAAAATAACAAATTATTAAATATTTTATTAAATTAATTAAATTAATTTTATTAAATTATTAAATTAATTTTATTATATAATTTACAAATAATTACAATAATTTTAATGATATTATTTTATCATTAGTTTATCGTTAACATTAATATAAAAAAAAATTTTAAAAATCTATTTCTCTTACATTCTCTTGACATTCTTACATAAGAAAAAGAATTTCTTTTTCATTTTTAATTATAATACGAAATTTAACTTAAATTTTAAATGAATACTTAAATTAACTTAAATTTAAAATAAAAACTTCACAATCGCAATTATTTTAATTCAGTCTATAACTTATTTCTAAAAAAAAAAATGTAAAAGCAAATTACATGTACATCATTAAATAGTTCAATTTGATCATGTATGTATATTTATTCCTCAGTTTTATGTTCTTTCTCTCTCGATGTTACATGTATATTTACAAATATTCATTCAAATGGAAAGATGTACATGAAAATTTGTCTACATTTAAAATTATTAATTTTAACAATAGTAACATATCCCTTAAGATAAGGTACGTTCGAGCTCATGCTTGCAAAAGGTATAAAGTGTATCGTTACACATTATATTATATGCTATAATAGCTATGAACAAAAAGAAATCAACCTTATTATTATTAAAAACTGAAAAGAAATATATTATAAATGAAAACCGTTAATCACTATACAAACGTGCAATCAATACACAAAAAAATCATATATTAACTATACATGGTCATTGTTATTCATGGTTGCGGTTCTATTTACACGATTCGTTTATTGAATAAATTCGAAACAAATATATTTAAAGTAATAACTAATGTCATCCACTTCGTAATTATCACTTAAATCCTTATATAAATTTTTAATATATAATTTTATATTTTTTTTTATTTTGAGTTTATAAATATTTTATTTTTAAGTTGTTCAAAGATACAATTGTTAATATTAATTATAATCAAAAACAATCAATTATTATTTTATTATAAGGAATTTTAATAAAAAAATATCTTTATCATTCAAATTCTAAGTATTATCATAATCATAAAAAATTGCATAAAAAATAGTTTTTGAATTATTGAAAGAACTATTTTTACTTGTTTTTTTATTGGTAGAGTTTTATAAATAAATAAATTCAAATACAGAATTTGGAATTTTAATATTATGTTTTAATAATGATTGTCATTTTTCTTAAAATCGTATTACGTTATTTTTGCAATAAATAAGCGATATGTATAATATGTATAACTTGCATATGTATATATAAGTATATAGAAATTGGAGGACATCTTGTGGTTAAGTACATCAAAGTTGCTAATAAAACCATTCAGAATTTAAGAATTTTACGTGGTCTTAAAAAAATATCTAATTTCCATTTTCAACTTTCAAAAATAATGAATAGATTTGAATACGCTGATTCTCGGCTTTTTCCAAATGAAATTTATATAAGACGCGATTTTGGCATATGTTTGTACGATGGAGATATTAAAGTATGTATAATTAACTATTCATATAGAATAAAACATAACCTTCATTTTTTTGATAGACAAATTTTGAAAGTGGTGAATTAGTGCTTACAAGTCACAGATTTCTTTGGGGAAGACCTGGTGACATATCACGTGGTTATACCTGTCTTTCATTGTTTCTTCGTCATATAGTTTATTTTGAAGAAGAAATTCCTGGTCCATTTTCTTTTGGACGTAGTAAAAAAATTATTATACATCTTTCTGAAGCTCCAATTGGTATGTTTTAATTATGAAAAAATATATTTATAAATCAATATATTAAAATTATATAAATTTAAATTATTAAATTATTATAATATTTTTTTTGTAGATAAAATGCCTGGTCCATTAGATAATAGTATATATAATTATATTAAAATATCATTTAAAGAAGGTTTAGATCCAAATTTTCATACGCATTTGTCTGATACTATTATGAGACGAATTTGGGAATTAACACCTATTATGCCTTTAAATCATCCTGATACTAATATAAAAAATAGTGGAGATATTAATAAACCTTTGCCACAAATAAAGACACGAACTGGTATTATAGGTATTGAAAGAAGTCTTCAGGAACAACAAAAAGCAACAGATGAAAGTATATCAATGGCCTTTCAAGATCTTAAGAAGCTCATGGAAGTGGCCAAAGACATGGTTTCCATTTCAAAAACTATCTCAACAAAAATACGGGTGACTCTCAACAAGATTATTTTATAAAATTGACATTCATAATCAAAGACCATTGCAGGAGAGACAAGGAGATATCACAGAAGATGAAACAGTTAGATTTAAATCTTATTTAATGAGTCTTGGCATTGATGATCCTGTTACCAGAGATGCATACAAGAATAGTAATGAATATTTCAAACAATTGGCAAAACAACTTGCAGATATTTTAGAAGAGCCAATTAAAGTTAATATTTCTAATAATTTTTAACAACTTACAATATATAATAAACACTTAGTAAATTCCATTTGGCAGGAAGTTGGAGGAATGATGACATTAACAGATGTTTATTGTCGTGTAAATAGAGCAAGAGGCTTGGAACTTTTATCACCAGAAGATTTATTAAATGCTAGTAGACAGCTAGCTTCTTTAGATTTACCTATAGTATTGAGAGTGTTTGATAGTGGAGTTATGGTTCTTCAAGCTCGATCACATGATGATAATACCATAGTTGATATTATAGCTGATTTAGTAAGTAATATTTTCAAATAATTTTTACATGAAGCTTAACTTCTACTCTTTGTTGCAGATAAAAAAAAAAGGATCTCTAACAGCAGAAGAACTTGCTCAATCAGAAGGTATATCAGTTCTTTTAGCACGGGAACGATTATTAGTTACAGAAAAAAAAGGAAAAGCTTGCAGAGATGATACAATTGAAGCTTTAAGGTTCTATCCTAATTTATTTCTTGAAAAGGATAATTAACTGCCAATTTCTTTATTATCATATAAATATAAATCGTGCTAATATATTTTAAACAAATATATTATTTTTATGATAATAAAATAACTTAAAAATAATTTAAAATAACATTTTTTGTGTTTTCACACATTACATATTTAGAATAAATTAAAACTAATTATTAAATATTGTATATTATACTACAAAAATATGTTATATTTTAAAGTAAAGAAAAATGATTGATTTTTTTTTTAAATTGAATATTTCAATTAATATTTTATCAATTTTTTTATATGTATTTTTTTTATATAAAAAAATGATTTAAATTAAAATTATGAAAATGTTAAAATTCTTAAAAATTATATATAATATATAATATAATATAATATTATATATATATATAATATAACTAATTACTTAAATTTGTAAATAAATATTTAATTCATTATAAATATTATAGTAATTTATTTTGTAAAATGAATATACATTAGAAATTTAGTTTAACCAATGAATTATGAAAACAACTAGAGAAATTTTATTTAATTTCAAATTATAGTAATATATATTTAGTAATTTTAAGTTGACAATACTTACACATTGAGAGAAAAAAAATAATACTAAAATCTGATTGGTTATTTCTGATAGATACAATCATAAAAATAAAAATGCGTATTGGTCGAAAATCGTGCATCTATAGATAACATCACATAACATCGCATAATGGTGAACAAGTATGTCTCAACCTCGAGCTAACTTCTCAGTTCTTATAGTACTCAATAGTATATAATAAGATACTGATGGTGAAATAAATTCTAACTTATTAAAAATATAATTGAATAAATTACTTTAGAACATATAAGTTAACAATATTTATATATTATTATATGTGTTTGTTATATTTTTAAGAAACTAAAACTTAATCAGTATACAAAATGGCTTTACCTCCGAACTATAAGCAAGTAGCTATGGCTACGTCAAATATTGTTGCATCTAATCGTAAGTATTATTAACCTCAAATCGTTTGGTTATATTTAATATTTTTTCATCTATATGTCATTAAAAAAAAATAATTAAATAAAAAAAATAAATATTTCAGAACGACTCAGAGCATCTGGTGGAAGTAGTAGTAGTTCAACTAACACTGTAAGTTTATATTTTATACAAATTACATATATGTACATACATTTTAGGATATGAAATTAATTTTTATAATACTTAATAGAAAGATGCACAAAGTCCATTTATTCAAACACCTCATAGTCATCCAGGATTTATACCTCAAAAAGTTGGGAAAAATACAAATGTATGTATTTCTATATTATAAGTACTATAATATTGAATATAATATATAACAATATTTTAGAAATATTCTTATTAATCCATGAAAATTTTTTCATATTAACTAAATAGGCTGATTCTCGTATGCCCAAACCACCTAAACCACCAGAGAAACCTCTTATGCCTTATATGAGATATAGTAGAAAAGTCTGGGATCAAGTTAAAGCTCAAAATCCAGAATTAAAATTATGGGAAATAGGAAAAATTATTGGACAAATGTGGAGAGATTTACCAGAGGAAGATAAAACAGAATTTATTGAAGAATATGAAGCAGAAAAGGTCAAAATCATATTAATATTATTTCATATAGTTATAAAAATAAATATTAATATTACTTGTATGTTAAATAGGTTGAATATGAAAAAAGTTTAAAAACTTATCACAATTCACCTGCATATTTAGCTTATATTGCAGCTAAAAATAGAGGAAAATCTGGTAAATATTTTATAAATATATTTATTTTATATAAACTTCTTAATATAACTTTTTTTTTTTAACTACAGCATTATGTGCTGCACAACAAAATAATGATGAACGAGAAAGTCATGAACGTTCATCTGGCAGTACCAAAGGACAAGCAGCTCAAGATAGAAGAATAGATATTTTACCTGCAGAAGATGATGATGGTATAAATTAAAAATATATATATAAATTTATATAATTTAAATAAGAAAATATTGTATATATATTTTTATTTTGTAGATCAAGATGATGGGTATTCCGTAAAACACGTTGCGTATTCTCGATACACTCGAAATCATCGTCTTATTAATGAGATATTTAGTGATACTGTAGTTCCTGATGTTCGCTCTGTTGTCACTACACAACGAATGCAAGTACTACGTCGCCAAGTACAATCCTTAACAATGCATCAGGTATATATGTATGACAAAACACATTAATTTTTAATTAAATAATAATATAAATTTAATTATAATATTTTAAAATTTTGAATATTATAGAAAAAACTTGAAGCAGAATTGCAACAAATAGAAGAAAAATTTGAAGCAAAAAAACGTAAATTTATCGAGACAAGTGAAATATTTCAAGAAGAATTAAAAAAAGTAAGTTATTTTTTAATGATATAAATATCCAAACAAATAATAAAAAATATTTCTTTCAGCATTGTAAACCAGCTGTAGATGAAGAAACATTTAATAAAATGGTGGAACGACAGTATGAAGCACTTAGACGAGATAAATTAAGAGGTACGGAAGAAAATCGTTCAGATGGACCTCCTTCAAGTGAATCAACTCCAAATTCTACTCCTACTCCAACTCCTGCTCCTACTAATGATGAAACTCCATCTGATGTAAGTATTATTCGTACAACTATAATTTTATTATCAATATAACAGTAATTTATTATCAATTTTTGTAGGTTCCTGATAATGATGCAATAGATAAAAAGACAAATGGATCTGAAAAATCTAATAATGAAATTAAAAAAGAAACATCTTCACCACCATATATTGAAAATAAATCAGAATCTTCATCAAGTCAAGGAAATTCTAATCAACATACATCCAATTCTGGAATGTATTGTGGGACTATTAGTCCAATACAGCAACAGCAACAACAACAAACACCGCCGCCGCCGCCATCATCACAACAACAACAACAATCTTCTTCACAATCACAACCGCAACAACCACCATCAACACAACATCAACAATCGCCATCTCAATCACATCAACAGCAGCAACAACAATCATCAACTCAACAATCACAACCATCTTCTTTACAACCACAACAAGTTACTACAACAGCAGTTGCTGGTGTAGCAGTAACTGCTAATACAAACACACCTACAAATGCAAATGCATCTGCAAATACACCGACTATACCTCCTGTTTCTTCACCAGCTCCTCCTATGCAACATAATCCGCATCAGCAAGCAATGTTAGCTAATCATTCAATACCACCTCATCAAGGAACACAAGGAACACAAGGAACTCAAGTGCTTCCACCTCAAGGACCAGTTTCTAATCCACATACTCCTCAAATGATTCCATTAAATCAAGGGTATAGCCAACAATATCAACCAGGACCTACTCAGCAAGCTCAAAATGTTCCATTAGCTCCAAGACCTCCTCATCCTTCTTATGCTTATTCTCAACAACAACCATATCATCAACCATATCCTCAATATGCACATCCATATTATCATCAACCATATTCACAATATTCACCACATACCACAGGTCGTCCTCATACCCATGGTCCTCATAGTCCACATAGTCCTCATTATCATCCACAATCTCCTCATGCTGTTGGAGAAAATAATACTACTAATAATAACGTACCAGGTTCAAATACAGCTTCTGCACCAACTTCTGTACCAACTTCTGATGCTAATAATTCATCTTATTCTTTAGCATCAGGACATTGTGAAAGTGAACGTTCTGTTTCTTCAGAAAATCAAGAAGGTCAGACAGATATTAAATCAGGATCTGGTTAAGTATTTTTTATAACTACATACATTCATTTATAGACTTCTATTGATTTTATGTGAACCATAAAATACATTTAAATAATATTGATGCATTTAAATAGTTATAATAAAATTGTCATATTCATTCAATTTGTACAATAAAAATGCATTATTAATCTTTTTTATTTTGAAAATAATATTGTAATTAAAATTATCATTTCACAGCACATCTCATTTTTAAAAATGCCAAAAGATACATTCATACAATAGTTAAGATACCTGTACATTACGTCTCAGACAATGTACATCAGTCTTTTATTTCACAGATTTCATTTGCCAAAGTCCATCATTTAAATAATGACAATTCTCTATGCCTATTCCTTTGTTCACCTTAATTCTGTAAATTACATTATTATAAAGAACAAAATATTTTTCATATTTTTTTATATATAAATCACTGTAAATTTTATTTACTTACATATCATCTGTTGACAAAGTAGTAACACCTACAGCTAAAGCATGTTGCTTACCTTCTGCCATAACAGCCTATTTTTCAAGTCAAGAATTATATTTAAGTTCTTAGATAAAAAAGTCATTTTATATCATTTTATTTTAATAAAGGATACAACAACTGTTCCTTTTTCTACAGGTGTCATCTTTGCACCTTTTGATGTTAAACCAGGACACATAATATTAGCTCCACTAAGAACAAACCGTATAGCACCTTTATCAACTTGTTGCATTGGTAGAAAAAATGGGTCTAAAAATTTTAAATTATGTTAAAATAAATTTTTTGTGTAAAATTAATTTTCTATTAATCAAAGTATTTATTATATTTAAGAAAGATATAACTCACATTTATGTAACAATCTTAAAGTAGGCATCCAAGGCCCTTCACGTTGACGAAAAAATAAAAGATCTCCTGTTGCATTTACTATAATCTCTATATGGTCATGACTAATCATAAAATAATAACAAAATTAAAATTATATTAAACTTAAAATAAATTAATTTTGAAAGAACTTACCATTTTATAATTCGAAAAGCATCTTTTTTTGGAATTATGGCATCAACATAACCTTCTAAATAAGGATAAAGTTCCAAAAGCTTTGAACGAATTCCTTTCTGAACTGATGATTTTAATTGCTGTATACCAGAAATACTATCTTTTTCGTCAAATCTAATAAAATATCAATAATAGTAGTATTTTTATTAAACTAAGGTTATGTTATTTTAGAAGATGAAATGCTACACATACTTTTTAAACATTTTCCTCTTGTTTACAAGATAATATTAAATATCACAAAAGTATTAATATATAAAAAAAACATTCAATTAATTATTTCTTGATGTCAATTTTACTTTATAAATGACTGCTACCCGGTATACGTTGCATATGAACATTCAAATACTACAGACAAGATATAGAATACAAGATGCAGGATATTCCTAACAATGGAATTTTGTGTTCCTACATTCTGAAATATCGCGTAAAAAAACATAACGCAAATAGATGAAAGTCTCTAGTCATATTTAAATAACTGGAACACACTGATGCAAGTGAGTTGCCTATCTAAAGAAAAGACTAATTACAAGACAAAGGATGTGTAATAGAGAAATACCGTTAAATATTCAAAAAAAATATCTACATATGTAATATCTCTAGTTTATTCAATTTAGTAGAGTTTATTTGATTATTTCGCTATTAATTATTCGCTATTAAATCTTTCCTTTATATCTGAGTGAATAAAATAATAATATCTATTTCATAATTAGAATGCTTGATATATCTTACTCTCTATGATGCAAATACTCTCTATGTAAAAATTATATTTAATCATAAAAGTTAGTAAAGTTAGTAAACTCAACAAAAATAATTTTTTTGATACATTTTTTCATAAATATTAAAATTAAATCTATGTATATATATATATAGATACATTTATATATAGATATATATAAATGTTAATTATAATATGTTAATATTAATAATATAAATAACAAAACATCAGCGATTTAAGATTTTTAAAATGTTAATCGATATATTAAAAATAAAAAATACAATAATGTCTCTTGAACGCAAGAAGAGAATAGTAGTAATAAGTAAATGATATAGAATAATAATTAATCATCAATACTATTTTTTAAATGTCAAAAATAATTTTTTAGACAATTAATTTTAAAGACAAAGTAAAATAAGAAATCAAAAATAACATTATCTTTTAAAAATATTTGATAAGATAAGATTAATTCTTTTAGAACTTTGACAGAAATAGTTATTGAAAGTTTTATGGCTGCAAGAATGGTAATCAAGTTAATTTGTGTTTACATATGCTTTATAAATTATATTAAGAATTTTACACAAATTGTATATATATATATAATAACATTTAATACATGTAAAATATTTTTTCACATATTTAAATTATATTTTTCTTTAAATGAAAAATAATTTAAATATTTTTTTATTACTTGACTGAATTGGAATAAAAATCTAATATATGTATAATTATGTATAATATATCACAAAAAATTCCTAAAAATGCAAAATTTTATGTTTTACATGCAATAACTTTAAAACCATTGAATTTTAACATTCAATTTTTTATCTTTGCAAATCAAAATTTATATAATTTAGGATAAAAAATCTAATTTTAGTGTCTCAAAATTTAACTAAAATAAATATTTACATTAATAATAATAATAACTATAATTATTTATTTATAAATTCAATTTTTGAATTTTACATTTTTTTGATACAGTTGGTAAGTATGAAAATATGGCGGGGATACTTACTAATTGTAATGTATACCGAAATAATTGTTTAGTTTCGATTTTGGTATGTTTGAAATTTTTTAATTATTTTTCATATTTATTTTTATTTTATAATATTTTCTTAAGTATAAGTTTTTTCATATATAATGTATAACTAATTTAATAAGTAAAAATTAAGATATAAATATTGTTTTATTTTAAATTTTTATTTTTAGATATTTATTATAAAATATAAATATTTTAATTATTAAAAAAATTTCTATTTTATATTTATAAATTTAAATAGAAAAAATATAAAAAAAATTTTAGTTTAAGATTATATTTTGTAGCAATATTTAGAATATTGTTATATTTATTTAGATTCATTATAATAAATTTAAAATATTATCATAAAATTCTTTATTATAATATGAAAGTTTCTTATTATTATTTTTTATCATTTTTTATTTTTTATATATATTTCTTTTATCATTTTTAAAATATTAAATTTAATGAGGTTAAGTTTTCAAAGATAAAATTTTTCGATATAAAACAGAATTTGTACATTAAGAATAACTTTAGATTATAGGACAAGCAGAATTATGTCATAAAGTTTCCGAAGGATTACATGAAAGTGCAAAAGAAAGAAAATGGCATATTGTTGTACATCAATGTGAGCTTATTGATGAAGTTATACGCTTGAATTTAAATCTTAGCATAGATTTTATTATTTTTGTTTTTGATTGGAAAACTACACATTCTTTGTCTGAAGTAAGTATATAACTTAATTTTTAATAATTATTGTTTTTATAATGTAATACTAATGTAAAGAAATATTATTTAAGGTAGAAACAAATATTAATCTTATAGATGAATATTATATTATTTCTGGAGCTGTATGTCTTGTAAATTGCAGAGGGATTTCAAATAGTATGGGATTAACTTCTCATAAATCAGCAAAAATAAGAGAGAAATATAATATTCGATTTTTGTCTGCTAATGTTTTTGTAAGTTTATGTATATATATATATATTTTTTAAATATAATACAATATGCATTCCATAATCAAACAAAAATGTTGAGGGAAACAAGAGAAAAAAATATAAAATTTGATTATATAAAAATATAAAATTAAAATTTTCTGAATATAAAATTTTAGTTTGAAATCTTTATTAATTTAAGAGATATTAATAAAAAACTTTTGATATAATATATTGAATTCTGTTTATATATTTATGTCTTTGTAATGTATGTCAGTATAATGTGATAGTATATCTATTATTTCTATCATATCATAATGGACAATGTCCAAAATCTGTAACAAATAGATAAAATAATAGATAAAAAATCTACTTATAGATAATGATATGATGAGAATTCTAATTATAATAATATCACTTAAAGAATGGTGCTAATATTCATTGTAATTTTGATCACTTAAAGATTGTTTTATATTTTATTTTTTTTATTCTCAATTTTATTCTCAATTTTAATATTGGATTTGAAATATTTTAAGTCCATCATGTATGTATTCTTCTCCTTTCCTCAAAATTTCACCTTATTTGGTTATAGAATGCATATTACATTTTAATTTTTTTTTTGCAATTTATAATTATTATAAATTGAATTATATTATATTAATTTTTATATTTTTTTTTTAGAAACCACAAATTTGTGTTCAATTAGGTAATAGAATATTAAATTTAATAGAAGCTGTATTAGGTATAACAAGTGGAATTCCTGCTATTGGACGGACTAATGATATAGAATTTTATAAAACTTGAACTTATAGTTTTAATATTGAAATGAAGAAGACAAGCAGCAAAAGTCAAGCATATGCGTCTAGTCAAGAAGATAGTGAAAATGATAGTGATGAAACTGAATGTAGTATTGGTAGTAATTCAACAGCTGGTACTCATCGTAGTGATACACCTACTCGCAGTGCTCGTTACAGAAGAAAAGGACGACGTAGAAGTAAAACGGCAAAATATAAACCATGTACAGATAAACCTCTTTATAAATATTGCTGCAGTATTAAAGAAGATCATGGACAGCCATTGTTTGGAGTACAATTTAACCATCACTTAAAAGAAGGTGAACCATTAATATTTGCTTCTGTGGGAAGCAATCGAGTAAGCATTTATGAATGTCCACAAGGAGGAAATATTAGATTACGTCAATGTTATGCAGATCCTGATCCAGAGGAAAATTTTTATACTTGTACTTGGACTTATGATGATTCTGGAAAACCTTTACTAGCAGTAGCTGGATCACGTGGTGTTGTGAGAGTTATAAGTCCTGTAACTATGACTTGCATCAAACATTATATTGGTCATGGTCATGCAATAAATGAATTAAAAATTCATCCTAAAGATCCAAATATATTGCTTTCAGCATCAAAAGATCATGCTCTTAGACTATGGAATATAAAAACTGATGTATGTATAGCAATATTTGGTGGTGTAGAAGGTCATAGAGATGAAGTATTAAGTGCAGACTTTGATATGAAAGGAGAACGTATTATTTCATGTGGTATGGATCATGCTTTAAAATTATGGTCATTAGATAAATCAGATATGCAAGAAGCAATAAAACAATCCTATTATTGTAATCCTAGTCGTAATGGAAGACCTTTTGATTCAATACTTCAACATTTTCCGGATTTTACTACACGTGATGTTCATCGTAATTATGTTGATTGCGTTAAATGGTATGGTGACTTCATTTTAAGCAAGTCTTGTGAAAATTGTATTGTCTGTTGGAAACCAGGTCGGCTTGAAGATTCTCAATTACGTAATGGAGAAACAAGTGCGACTGTCTTACATAGATTTGAATTTAAAGAATGTGATATATGGTTTATCAGATTCTCAATGGACTTTTGGCAACGTACAATAGCATTAGGAAACCAAGTGGGTAGAACATATGTATGGGATTTAGAAGTTGATGAACCTGGTCAAGCACGTTGTTATTCACTTCAGCATCCTAGATGTACTGCACCTATACGTCAAACTAGTTTAAGCAGAGATGGTTCAGTTTTATTATGCGTTTGTGATGATGCTACTGTATGGAGATGGAATCGTGAACATTAATATTTCCATAATACAGGGTGATTCTTTCTCTATAGTTCCCAGAAGGAATGTCATTAATCATACATTTTCATACATTTTTTGTTTCATATACATACATACATATATATATAGAGTTTATATCACCCTGTACATAAAGTGGTGCCTTTATATTTACATAATATGCTGTATTTTAAATGCTTATTACTGCCTTTATATATACTATAAATAGTAAATTATAAATTTACATTAGTGTTTTATAACTAATAATTTTATAATATAACTAATAATTTTATAATTCTACAATAATAATTTTGATTCATAAATAATTTATGAAAAAATTAAAATTCACATATTTATATATTTTATTACTAATTATAATATCCTTTTCATAAAAAAATAAGGAATTAATTATGAAAAAACGATCTTATGAAAAGATTTAACATAATAATTATGTTAAATCTTATAGCACTTATAGCAATTATAAAAAATATGCTTACGTTTAATTTTTTCTACATAATATTTTGTGCACTAGTATGATTATTCCATAAAATAAAGTTATTTTATATATATATATATATATATATATATATATATATATATATATA